CGGGTTCGTGGACGGTAGACCTATCAGGAGTAAGGCGGCAAAGGAAGTAAAGAACTTTGTCCTAGAGTACTTATCTAGGTATGGTTGTGTCAGCAAGATAGTGATGGACAGAGGGGCGGAATTCCTAGCCGACGAGGTTCAGAGCGTGTTTAGGAGAGCCGGTGCGAGAGTTTCGATAGCCACCGCCTATCACCCACAGTCGAACTCCCCAGTAGAGAGGGGACACCAGACTCTGATAGCGTTACTGTCCAAGTGGTGCAAGGGTAAGCACAGTGATTGGCCACGATATTTTCGATACGCAATATAGGCGGACAACGTCACGGTTCGGGCTAGTACCGGATACCCACCGTACACCTTGTGGTTTGGGCGACATTGTCCGCTTCCCATAGAGTTTCATGTAGACAGCTGGACAACCGTCGACTCGAGATGTCCAGAGAGGAACTCTTAGCTGCCCGAACAAGACAGATAGCCTACGGGTTGGAAGACAACCTCATGACAGCAGCCGATCGTCTGGCGGCGGAAAGGGACAAGGGTAAAGAGAGATGGGATAAGAACGTCCGAATCAGGAAAGAGAGGGTGAGCGTAGGGGATATGGTCCTTCTCTACGACGCGGCACTGGAGAGGACCTGGACCGAAACTTGCCAATAGATAGATGGGACCTTACAGAGTGGTTGAGGCACTTGACTGGGGTGCATATATGATAGCAGAACTAAACGGATCTAAGTGGAAGGACCCAGTGGCGGGGGCTAGGTTAAAGTTGTTTAGGCCCAGGCCCACGCCCGCCTTATCGCTTACCAGCCTGAAAGGGAAAGGAAAAGCCATAAAGGAGGATGGAGCCCCCTTGAGGCAATTCGAGGCAGGAGAGAGTTCCAAGAAAAGGAAAAGAATAGAGAAGAGAAAGGTCAAAGGGATAGCTTTAGGAAGAAAGAAGAGATGGTTATTCGTAATCAAGCGAGCTAGACGGAGAGTTCGCGTTAGACGTACTAGCAGGTCGACACCCTTCTCGGGGTAAGGACAAAGGAAAAAGAGAATCGTGCCGGGACCAAAAACGAGAAGAAACAAGAGAGTCAAGAAGCATCTTCTTAGCCCCAGGACTCATAAAAAACTGAAACATAAGACAATTAAACGCCGACGTGGGCGTCCTTTACGGACTATCACCCTTAAGCTCGTCCGCTTCATTTGACGTAAGTGGTTGGGGCTCGACGGGGGCGTCGAGAAGTGGTCCGGGCTAACTGTCAGGCGGCCACAAGCAGTGCGCCGCCTGAAATCTGCGGCTTTGGGACTTAGGCTCAAGGACGAGTCTGTGTTTTGACGGTACTCTGGTTTGACTGGGCGACAGAAATTAGGGAAACTCAGGGTACCCCTGATTCTGGGCATACTGAATCTTACAAGTAACCCTCAAAGATAGCGAGATGGGTGGGCGCACTTGGCGTATCTAGAGACTGTAATTTCCGGCCGTTCGGAGGGCTGGAGCCGGATTAGCCGGCGTATCTAGAGACCGTAATTTCCGGCCGTTCGGAGGGCTGGAGCCGGATTAGCCTGCCGCGGAGAGGCATCGCGGAGACGGACCTCGCCGCAACGTTTTTGCAGCATACGACCGCGGCCGAAATGAGGCCTCAGATTTTTGTCTATTTTAGTACCAAAATTAAAGATGGGGAGAAGGGATTAAGACCAGTAGGGGAGAAGAGAAAAAC